AATGATATTTAATCATGATTAATCAAAATTAATCCACAGGAACCCTGTGATTAATATGATAAAAAAAACTCTAATTTTTAATTAATCTGTGATTAATTAACCCTGTGATTAATCTGATTAAAAATTTTCTTAATTTTAATCATTTGACAGCACTACTATAAAGAAAAACTCATTTAACTGATGCGCCGTATCTGCTTTCTCTTTTCAACTGGCTTTACTCATAGGGTTCAACTGTAGTTAATATGAAGTTACAAAAGCTGTAGAAATATTTCAGCATAAAACCATGCGATATAAATAATTATAGTGTTACAGCAATTACGGTCGTAATTATCATTAAGCCTTGCAACCCCGATCAGGATAAGCAGTTGGGAGATTGATAGATGTGTGGATGTAAATAAAATTTACATAAATGCATCTTGGACCTCTAGCTTAAAAATTAGTTTACACACTGCAGCTGATCCCCCCCAAATTTAAGCAATTAATAAACCCCGCTTCTCTTCAATGCCTCAACAATTACGGATGGATTGGAGAGTACAGTATAACTTTGGCTACTTATTACCGGTGCGACATAATACTCAGAAAACGGCGACTGAAACACACACACTGAACCCGAAACAAAAATCACAAAAAAACTGAAAATGAAAGACGCAAATTATGCACGTTTGAAAGTAATTTTTAAACGTAAAACTAGAACTTTACAATGTGATTTCGTCATCTTGTTTAAGTTTCGAAATATATATTAGAAACCTTAAGAGTAATTACTGCCCCCACAGGTAAATACACGAAACTACAGATTGGGCGTCAGGCTGGTGTTAAACAGCGTCAAGCGAACGCCAGTGAAACGCCAATCGAACGCAGCTACAAAACACAGGAAAAACGCGTATGGCGATCAGAGGGCGTTCGTTTCGAACGTCCGTGTGGACGAGGCCTAAGGGACAAGTATTCTGGATGCCCATGATCTTCGGGCCCTTAGGCAGCACTGCCTCACAAATAGGCATGATTCTGCAATGGAAATCACTAAACGGGCTCAGGAACATTTCCAGAAAACGTTACCAGTGAACACAATTCGCTGTGCCATCCAAAGATGCCAGTTAAAACTATCATTCAAAGAAGAAGCTATATTTGAACATGATCCAGAAGTGCTGACGTCCTCTCTGGGCCAAAGCTCATTTAAAATGGACTGTGGCCAAGTGGAAAACTGTTCTGTGGTCAGACAAATCTAAATTCGAAATTCTCTTTGGAAACACCCAGTGTGTTATCGGCACTCAGTTCAAAGACCAGCATCTGATGTATGGGGGTGCATGATTCTGCAATGGAAATCACTAATGGCATGGGCAGCTTGCATATCTGGAAAGGAACCATCATGCTGAAAGGTATATCTAGGTTCTAGAGAAACATATGCTGCCATCCAGACGACATCTCTTTCAGGGAAGACCTTCCATTTTCCAACATGACAATGTCAAACCACACACACTGCATCAATTACAACATAATGAATTTGTAGAAGAAGGGTCCGGGTACTGTACTAGCCTGCCAGTGGTCCAGATCTTTCACTCATTGAGAACATTTGGCGCATCATAAAACGAAAATTACGACACAGAAGCAACTAGAATCCTGTATCTGACGAGAATGGGACAACATTCCTCTCCCAAAACTCGAGCAACTGATCTCCTCAGTCCCCAGACGTTGTTAAAAGAAGAGGGGATGCCACCTAGTGGTAAACATGGCCTTGTCCCAACTTTTTTGAGACGTGTAGTGGTGGGCGGATCGATCCAAGTATCGATAATATCGATAATAATGTTGGTATTGATATTGATCAATACCAGTTCAATGAGATCGATACTTCAGTTTCAATCTCTATCCCGAATGCACTGCGGCTGTCTGTGTTCGCGCTGCTGCTCTCAATTGCCGCTCCCGGCTGTCACGTGACTCAGCGGGCCAGGCTAGCAAACAGGCGCGGGCGGGCGGACACACACTATAATATTTATAATAAAGTATTATAATAGTGGGTGGCTGAGTCATGCTCACAATAATTAAACAGCAGGGATAGTTCGGGGTTTAATCATCAGATGGCGTTTATTACACCCGCACTACTACAACGCACACACTGGCATTGCTCACTGCGCACGTCACCCCGTTTACTCCTCATACACACGGTTGGCACACACTGTTGGCGCACGCGCACGCACACACACACACACACACACACACACACACAACAATAAACATTAACCACTATACATGACATAACACACAGCACATTTATAATCACACAAGGGATTACTGAGAACTATTTACAAGCTGGCATCAGTCCAACATGCCGTGCTACCGGCCGGTACCTCCGCGCTGCAGTATTTATTTATATATAAACTTTGCCCAAATTCTGTCCTGGGTTTTACCTAATTAATAATAAAATAAAAAAAAATCACAAAAACACTTAAAGGTAATGAAAATTAATTCAGTTTTAGCAATTTGATGATGCATCCACCTTAATTAAGAAGTATCGATATCGGTATTGTATCGGTGATACTTTCCCTGTATTTACTTGGTATCGCATCGATACCAAATCTTGTAGCATCGCACACCACTACTGCCATGACATTCAAAATGACCTTATCTTTTCCTTAAAATGATACATTTTCTCAGATTAAACATTTGATGCGTCTTCTGTTTTATGAATAAAATATGGGTTTATGAGATTTCCATATCATTGCATTCTGTTTTTATTCACAATTTGCACAATGTCCCAACTTTTTTGGAATTGGGGTTGTACAATTTCAAGAAGTACTGGATGGATTACCAGGAAATGTGAACGTTAATATTTTTTTTGTTGAGAGAAGTAGCTCTACATGCATTAATTTATGTACATTCCACTTATGACAATTTGCAGAAATTTTCCCCACCAAATTAGGTGGTTATTTGCATTTCTTTATATATGTTTTAATGTCCATATGAAAATGTCACATATAGTTTTTATATGTCTAAATATTCATATTCTATATATTCCTGATTAGTAGCATGACCAACATTCTCCAAGACATTACAGTAAGAACTATAACAGATTCATTAATGGCATATACAGAACCCTGAAGAGGCCACAGATTTTTTTGTGCACAATGTACATTTAAATCATTTACATTTAACAGGCATTTTTATCTAAAAAGACTTACAGTATAGGCATGGGCTACAATTTGTGTACTCCTTGAGATCTACAAGCTCTCCGTTACCTTTTGAGCAGCATTGGTTGAGCTACAGGAGCACTGTTGATGCTATACTAAAATCCTGCTTTAGTTTGACTAATCCTAATACTGTAAAGTGAATTATAAAAATATACTGGACATTAAGTCTTTTGAGAAATGTAGGGATTACAGTTGGTTCCTGCCCTATATAATGCACAACCACTTCATATCGAAAATCAAAATGCTGTCTGGGTTTGAACCAATATTAGTGAGTGTGAGACGAGTACAGACTAGAAAGCTGGACCAAATGACAGGGCTGTCGGGGAATACAATGCTGTCAAATCTAGTTTCAGCTGTTTTATAGTGTGCAGTCTTTACAAACTGCAAATGGTTTTTAAATAAAAAGCTCTCAAGTTAAAAAGACAAAATTGCTGCTGCAAAATGTCCTTTTCCTTTAGTGAGTGGATAGCATTGCATTACAAATCTAAAAGACCAACATGCGTGTCAGTAGGTGTTTTAACCTTATTTACTGAAAGAGCTAAGAGTATGAGAGAAAGGATCTCCCTCTCTCACCTGCTGAAGTCTTTCTCTGTCTCCAGTTCTTCCTCACCATGGCCCAGTCGGAGGAGGTGTCGCTCATCAATATCGAGTGCCATGATCTTCTCAAACAGCTGGTTCAGGGCCTTTAGACAGCAGATAGCACTTATAGATGAGTATGTGTGCGTGACCCCCCACTAATATTAAATTAACCTAAGTAGGGGGTTATTTAATTACTTCATAACGATCAAGCAGACAGGTGATACTGATAAGTGGAGGAAGTTCTGGACACACTGCGCACAATCGGTTCACTAGCGTCAACTTTAAACACCAACATGGATGCTTTTGACGAAGGTTGGGTTAGTTTGCAAACACTACAGACTATTTGCATGTCATTATCATCATAATCAATAATATTAGTAATTATTATTGTTGCTGTTATTACTAATACAATAATATTAAATACTATAATTATAAATAAGACAAATTGTGCAAAAGTACAAGGTTTCACTGGAGAACTATGAACATTTTCATGTCCACATACGCTGTGTGGATATGCAAGTGTTGCACTTGTGTGGAGAAGTATGAACCAGCATAGAGACAGACTGACAGACCCAGTGCAGCTGGGTCAAGCAGCAAGATAAAGGTGAAGGTGAAGCATATTTTGCTGAATGGAAACTCCAACAATGCCCACATTCCATCAAGAATTGAAAGGTCCAGCAGCCAAAGGATCAAAAGCCATGATAACATCTCTTATGAAGAGGCCACAGTGACAATGACACCCAATAAAAACCACAAAACTCCCCCACAGAACTGAGTGCGTACCTCAATGTCTCCGCATGACTTAAGATAGAAGTTTATTACAAAAATGCAGTCAGTAGAGATCAAATCTGGGTTTTAACTATTTGACGCCATTTTTGTATCCACCAGAAACTGTGATAACCATAAATTAATGGCAAACTAAATTTGGTACTGTTGGAAATGGCAGCATTGTATTCCACCGACAGTTCTGTCATTTAGTCCGGTTAACTAAGCCTTGCTTGTCTAACACTCACCAACTTGTACAATTTTAAGAAGTACTGCTCCTCCTTGGATTGCCACCTTATCGTGGTGGAGGGGTTTGCGTGCCTCCGTGAACCTGGGGGCTAGGTTGTCGGGGGCAATAGCCCCTGGTAGGGTCTCCCAAGGCAAAAAGGTCCCAGGGGAGGGGCCAGACAAAGAGCAATCCAAAAGAACCCTATCCAAAAGAATCCAAAAGAACCCTATC